AAATCTAATTTTGTGGAGAGACTGGACCTTGCTATACCAATCCACGGGTCAAACTGCAGGCCGAGGTATTTCTCAGATTCGCCGGGGTCGATCATGTTCAGGGGTGTGCCGTTGATAGTCCAGGCAGCGCAGTCATTGATGGTGTAAGAGTCCTTTGTCGGCTTGATGTAAAAGCCGTGGCACTTTTGCCCCTGTGTTTGGAGACCGGTCAGGTTGCAGAAGGTCTCCAGTATGCTAATATTTGTATTCATATTTTCCCAGGAGTCGCTCAGCAAAACCAGATCGTCTGCAAATGCCATCGCTGTGATCTTGCTCTGTCCTCGGTGGTATCCTTTGCCGCTCTCTTCCAGCTTACATAATAGAGGGTCCATTGCCAGGTTAAATAAAAGGGGCGACATCGGGTCACCCTGCTTTACTCCAACCCGGATCTGGATTTTGTCTGTGTGTGTGTTCCTTTTTGTGGTGATATAAGTACTGATGTTCTCGTACATATTGCTCACCAGACCGACGATGTGGGGATCCACCTCTCTTTGCTGCAAAGCATGAATGATGTGCTGGTGGCTTACGGTGTCAAAAGCCTTGGCGATGTCCACGAATACAACACCCAGTGGTCTGTGTTCTCTTTTGGCCGACCAAATTATAGTTTGCAGGAGTTTTAAGTTTTCAGAGCATCCCGCCGCTCTGATAAAGCCTCTTTGCCTTGGGTTCAGGGGGCACGCTTTGCTCAGCCTAGCTGTTACAATCCTGGAGAACAGTCTCAGCAAGATGGAACCGATCGTGATAGGTCTCCAGTTATTAATGTCTTTCAAACGATCCGGCTTTGATGATTTTGGAATCAAAACGGTTCTGCACCCCCTCACCATGTCCGGGATTTTACCAGTTGTTAACCATAAATTGAAAATCTCCATGGTCCGGGAAAACTCGGGATCCATCTTTACGACGTCCCCAAGAGTAATCCCGTCTGGACCGGGAGCCGAGCCTTTGCTCATTTCCTGCACATTTTTCTCAATTTCTTTAGCCGTAATTAATTCTCTGAAGGCAGTGTTGTCAGCCTTCCCGTAAGTTTTAAAGTCCCCAAGGCTTTTAAAGCTACCAGTTGTTTCCCATCTTGTTTTAAAAACCGAATAAATTTCACTGAGTGGTATGTCACAAGACAAGCATTCAATATCATCTAAAACAATTTTAGCCAGTTTCCCTCTATCAAGATAAAATAAACGCTGGAACCGAAGATAATTACCTTTTTTGATTGCTCTGTCCTTCATCCACTTCTGAAAAGGTTTCTTTGGGTGTTTCTCCCGGGTCACCGTGTCCTTTTTATCTCGGGTTGCCGTTCTTATTTGGCTTATGGATTCCAGGCATCCGAAGCAGTCCTGCGCTGCCTGATTGATTACTAGCTTTATATCCCGGCCTTCCATTACCTGCTTGAATGCTCGGGGGAAGGTGTTAAGTGCCCCAGCTGAAAGTCGTTCCTCTAGTGTCTTTTTATAGTAAGCCTGCAGCTGTTCTTCTGATTTTTGCTTGGTGGGTCTCTGCTGTCCGTTGCCCTTATCAGGGTGGCGTCTTATCTCGTCCATTGTTCTCCCTCCGGCAGCTGCCCTGCCTGGCAGAGGGCGTCTCCCAGGTCCATTATCTCTGTCCTCTGCCTGGGCGTGATGACTCATCTCAGGCTCCGTTCTCAGGCTCACAGCTGCTCTCCTGGTGTGATGACACGTTCCAGGCTCCTCACGTGGCTCCTCTGCTGGCTTTCTGGACAGCAATCGCCTTTTGTCACTGATCTGCTTAGCTGTTTTGGTGGTTATGTGTTCTGCAATAAGCTTATTAATATTTTTGTTTCCCTCGAACTGAGCCTCCAGTCTTATTAGTAATTCTTCCTCCTCCTTTGTCCAGCACCTTTTGTGAGCACCTCTATTTGATGTTTCTTTCGGTTGGGAAGCAACGATCCTTTCCTGATTTCTCACTGCTGGGTGTGCCAATCTCTTGTGTTGTCCCAGGCCAATTTTGGTTGTAAAATCTCTGTTGCATACCTCACAAATCCACTCCCCAGCTGGGGCTTTCTCCGTCTCTGGACCCCTGCATTTTGGAAAATGACAAACAACACTGTGATAGTTACTATTTTCCTTTCCACATTTTGCACACCGAAAACAAACCCCCCTTTTCCCGTGTGACACTTTCAGATGTTCAATCAGATTCAACACAGAGTTTACCCGGGTACCACAGCAAGGACAAGGTGGATTTTTGTCAGGAACAGTCACCATCACTTTTTCCTCCCCAGTCTGTTCCAAACCATGTTTCCCAGGCGTCGGAGGAGATGTTTTTGGCGCGTCCTCGCTCTCCTTCTCGCTGCTCCCCTCTTCAGGCACAAACAGTTCACTGTCTCGTGGGAGGCTAGAATGTAAAGTTTCTCCCACACACGGTTGTGGTGCAAGTTGTTCATACACCTCAGGCAAACCACTTAATCCCTCCCAATGTGCAGCAAAATGAACACACTCATACACATGCA